CTGCCCTTCGCACAAGTGGCCCCGCGGAAGTCACTCACATGGGTAACGTCTACATTAAGGTGAGCACTGCGGAGCTCATTGCCCCAGTGAAGGGAGTGAAGATGGCTTTAAGTCACCTTTGCACTCTCCTGAGCCTGAGTTGTTCTGTGGATCCCATACGTCTTAGAGCACCCTGGGGGCCCAGGTAAGTTATCGCAGCTTTCCTGGGCTGCTCTATTGGCCACAGCAGTGGTTCCCAGAATCTCCGGGGCACGTCACTTCATCATGCCCCTTCTGCACCCAAAACTAGGGCTTGCCAAGGGTCCTCTGACGGCAGCCTTACAGTGTGTCTGTGCTGAGCCAATCCTTCCTGGGTGTGAGGCTTTTAGAGACCCTTTACACTGCTCCAGTTTACAGGGGCCAGTGCGGAGGTGAGGATCTTACTCTATATGTCTTGCAAACTCTCTTTCACCTAAGGGGCCCTTTACCCCCAAGTGCTTATCAGGCACTGAAGTTAAACAGGCATTAACCACTAAGAACAGTGACTTACTTTACAGTAAATACGGTTCATCAACATGTTTTCTCTGTGTAGATCTCATTCAGGACATCACCCCTTCTCCCCCGCTTGCATGAGGGATTGGAATCATTGACTAGTAGTGTCTGTTGCAGCCAGGCCTGTACCCAGCATTTCATATGGGGCAGAGCAGGCCAGGCTGCTGCTCATTTCCTTACTAAGTCAGAATCCAGTAAAGAGAGTCTCCAAAGGAGCAGGGGTGGAGGGCAGCTTGTGGGATCCACGTGGTTAAAATATCTCGAAGAGCCACAGTTACTGCAAGGTGGGAGGCATGGATCAGCGTTCATGTCATGCTCCCCATTAGTACCCGGGAAGCCACTGATCCAACCAGCAGCCTAAATTCAGTGATAAATCCTGGTCACGTGCCGCCTGAGGCACATGGCACTTATGCTAAGACTGCAAGGTAAGTAACTGTTCTTCCATCTTCAGGTCTTTGGATTCCATTTATGGTGACTTGTTCGCTACCACTCACCTGAATTTGGCATCTGAGCTAGTTGCCAAATCAGGGCATAATGCTGAGGAAAGGTTTGGGCTGGGCACCAATGGGCTGCCTTGCAGCATGTTGACAGGAATATTTCTGTCTGGCTGAAGAAGTCACCTGGGATCTCACTGAGGGGGCCCTGAGGGAAGGGGCATATCTGCTTGCTGGTTATAGCTTGTAATGCACTGAGTGATCCACTTGGCTGAACTCTGGGAAGAGGTGGCCTGACCTTTCACAGCCTTCCCCAAAGCCAAAAATAAATGGGGTGATTGCCGGACTGCAGAGGCGTAGCGAGTGCCCTCTGTACCCTCTGACCGGAGGGGGCCCCGCAAGGAAGGGGGCCCCTAAAAGTGGCAAAATAAATACCGCATTCCAGTTTCTGCATTGTAAGGGGCCCCGCCCGGACATATGTTCGGAGGGGGCCATCGTTCGGAGGGGGCCACGTTCTTTGTTGCTACGGCCCTGCCGGACTGACTCTGTCCTGGCTCAGGAAGAAAGAAGGGCTCTGAAAGCATCTGCAGCGTGATGCTTGGGCTCTCCTGGATTTGAGTGCGGTTTGGTGAAGAAAACAGGGACGTTGCTGGTTTGGGTCAAGTGAAACAAGACTCCACCAGGGCGGCACTTAAGGTCTCAGCCCCAGGAAGGCAGTTTTGAACGTGAGGTGACGAGAACACTTGGATGAGTGTTCAAAAGGCTCGTCAGACCTACATTAACGTCCCTGAAGGCGGGAGGGCCCCCTGCTGAAGGGAGTGTGTGCGTGAACCAGTCTTTGAGAGACTTTGGGAAAGTGAGCTGAGAGAACACTCTGTGGGGTTGAACAGGAGGGTGATGCAGCGAAATGGAACCTGAGAGTACAGCTACACAGCTGAAGATCTCCAGTAGTGCCTCTCAAAGCCCAGGGTCAACTGCCTTTAGCTTGTGGGGCTCAGGCTATGGGGCTAAAAATGGCAGTGTAGACGTTCGGGCTTGGGCTGGAGCCCAGGCTTGGAAATTCAGCAAAACAGGGAGGGTCTCAGAGCCCAAATGTCTACACTGATATTTTAGCCCTGCTGGGCAAGCCCGAGTCAGTTGACCTGGGCTCTGAGACTCACTGCCGCAGGTTGTTTTGGTTTGTAGCCCCCCCACGAGAGACCTAATGGTGACGCCTCATGACATGAGCGAGAGGACGTAAGCCAGACTTTTGGGAATAGGGGCTTGCACTGGAGCGAGACCATGTGACGCCCAGACGGAAAAGCTCTTCCACGCTGAGCTGGTGGAGGGTTTCCTGCTCCATATTAGGAGCTGCTGGACAGCCGTGGAGCGATCCTAGGCTGTGATGCTCAGCCAGCCAATGTCTGATCAGTCACTTGTAGCGCCATGGGCTCTGGGTGGAGAGTTTGTCCTCAGTTCTGGGAGTGTAAAGCTGGTAGATTGGGGAGAGAAGTTAGTGGCTGTGTGGACAAAGGCCATTATCTTTGTGAGCCAATACTACCTGGGCCAATAAGGAGCTATCAGAATCACAGTGACTGCAATCTGCCTGATCTTCCTTATCACCCCTTGGGTAGCAGAGAGGTGGGTGGAAAAGCATGCAGACTTTGGCCCAGAGCCTAAAGGTACCATTAAGGCACCAATGATTTTCAAAGTTACTGCTCAGTTGCTGCCTGACCCCCATAGGTGCCTTAGTTTCTGTTGGTCAGCATTGACAAAGCTGCCTAAGCCCTGCCCTGACCCTGCTGCTAACGAGCAGCTCAGAGTACTCGCTCAAGCTGATGTCCAGGGTATGTCTACATTGTAATCAAACACCCACAGCCAAGCAGTGTCAGACGACTCGGATTCGGGCTGTGGGGCTATAAAATTGTGGTGTAGATGTTCATGCTCGGGCCGGACCCCGAGCTCTGGCACCCCACATGGGAGGGAAGAGGGAGGGGTGGGCAGGGTCTCAGAGCTTGGGCTCCAGCCTGAACATCTACACTGCAATTTTACAGCCCCGCAGCCTGTGCCTGAATCAGCCGATATGGGCCAGCTGCGAGTGTTTGATTGTGGCGCAGACATGGCCTCAAAGCAGGATTCCCACTTCCTCATGCACTGTATGGGGAGCCTGGGTACCTAACGCAGGGGTGTGAATTCCACTGGGGGGCAGGGCACCTGGGGGTTAGGTGTTGCACTGCTGAGTGGTGCAATGCCTAAGCACTTGGGGACTTGAGAACAGCATATGAAAGACCCTGGGCTAGTACCTGCTCTGGAGCAGAAGCAAGGGCATTTGCTGTTGGCAAACAGCTCTAAGGAGAGGAGCCCCCATCTGTGGAATATAGGCTTGAGAGCATCCATCAGGGACCATTCGTAGGAGAGAGGCATCGTCTGGGCCTTCCTCCTGAGTCTCTGCCTCCTAATGTTCTCGCTCTCACTGCCTTGGGAGGTCTAAGAAACAGCCGCAGCTCGGGCCTGGGCCAGGGGCCCACAATGGCAGGGCTAGAGCTAAAGGGATAGGCTAGAGAAGGTGCTGAGGCTCAAGGAGAGGTCTCACAGGGATATTGGGGGTACTAAGGCATTCTGAAAGGGATCTTAAGGAGGATCCCTAAAGTCTGCTGGAGGGGATCAAGGGTGTGATCTGAGTTGCTCTCTCTGGGGGATCCCTTGGAGAAGGATGGGGATGGATGTCTGGAGGAGAGTCCCTGCTAGATTCTGGAAAGAAAGTGTTGTGGGCAAAGAGGAGGAGGAGAAGTCTGTTCTAGAGGTGATGCTGACACGTCTCCTGCTACTGAAAATTTTAATTCTTTCTGGTGCCAGAGAGATTGGTGCAGGTGGCATTGGAACCAAGGCTGGGGTCCTGGTATGATTCCGGTACCCCTACGAAGAGTGTGGGTGCTGGTGAGGAGTCTTTGCCAGCACTGGGCTTCAGTGCTGGGGTGGACTTAGTTCTGCTCAGAGCAGGGTGACAAATAATTGGCACTGCTCGCTTGGCCCAGGCTGCTCAGGTCTCAGGGGAAGGGAACTCTTCTGGTTTAGAAAAGTCAGAAGGCCCATGACTCAATTTCTTTGGTCTCTACTGTTCAAAGGAAGCGGATCAGCACCATGAGTTTCTCTTAGACTAGTGCTCAGCTCTGCCCTGCCTCCGTGTAGCTTCACTGGGAAGCTCCCAGATGGTGCGAAATTTGCAGTGAAGGACCAAGTATGTCTGACTGAAGGGGGTTGCAGTCCCTTTCTTGATACCAGCAGTGAACTTTCACCTTCCAGTCCCTTTTTACCACTACAGAACATTGTGGTTTACCCTGGAACGAATGTTTGGAGAATTTCTAGAGTAGCGTTCATAAATGCCAACTAGCTCGAGCTAGTTAACATAATCAATTAGCTAGAGGTAAAAACTCTATCATGGACATACCCATAGGCCTTGTCTTCACTAGAAAAAGCAAAGTGAATTTTTAGTTATCACTTGTTAGCTAAAACCTTGTGTTAACTAACACCAGGTTAAGGCAAGGTAGCTTGTAATTTTAACATGTAATTTTAGCAGGTCAAGGTAAACCTGGCTCCCCCACAGTCTTTTACATCAACCTACTCCATGTTATAACTACAAACTGCCTGGTCTCCACTAGCATTTTGCCTTGTGTTACCACATTTGTGAACATCAGTTAAGAATGCACCTTTTCCCCTAGTGAGGCTGTACTCGTATTAACACAAGGGTGTTATGAAGGCTAGTTAATATTTATACACTCTTCAAAGGAACTGCCATTATCTGCAAAGGCTTATCTAATTCTGGACTGTTTTAAGAAAGGTAAGAGATACTGTTGGCCCGGGATTGGTAGCTTTTGCTCACAAACCTTTTGACTGGAATGGGTTAACACATTTCAGCAAACACTTGTACTGAACTAGCCAGGAAAAAAGGCAGGGGCACGACCATATTCAAACAAAATTGTTTTATTGAGAGTGTAAATGGAAATGTCTTCATATTGCTTGGATGAAATGACAGACAGCAGCTGTAGACAAATATGCTTTTTTTTTAAACAAATGAAAATGGATAAGGTAAAAATAAAGCTTTTTTTTTTTTACTTGTACCTTTAAGCAACATAATCACAATATATACACAAAGAAAGCTAAAATAAAGCTATGTTGAAACCAGAGCGTTTCAATCAATACATTAGATAATTACAGATTGTGTCAATAAATACCCAGTTTTTAAACTGTTTAACAGGCAACTTTTTACACAGATACGGAGAGGGAAAACTATATATATTTACAGTTCAGTGCCCTGAAGAAGGAAAAAAAAAAATCTTTTTTTTTTTTTTTGCACCAACACAAATAAAATGAATAAATTATAGAAAAAACATCCATGAAGGCAGGAATCTTTATCCCCATCGTTCACTTTTAAAATGATAGATATGCAGAGAAACCTAGGAATGTTCTAAAACATAATCTTACATTAGTGCCAATAAATACAGAATGGTACCGGACACTTTTTGTCAGTATTTTTGATGCCGCCTGAAGAATAGAAACGACCACCAATTAGATAATTGAATGGGATTTTCAGAACAACAAAGAAAAATTCTTGAAATCCTCCATCTGCCAGTAGTTCACCTACAATGGCCCTCCTGCATGGCAGCCAAGTCCCATCCGGCAGCTCTTGCTAGGTAAGACTTGTATGCAAGTGTACCATTGCTCTGCACAGCACAGGGCAGGCTCCTCAGTGAGGGTTCCAGTGTGGAAGGAATGCTGGGGGCTCAGTCAGGATAGCTGGGGCTCCAGGAGCGAAGATGCAGGGTGTCCCAGAGAGGCCAGTGGAGTCTGATGCAGTTAAATCAGACAGCACCAATGGACTCCTGAGCAATGCAACCTGCAGCTATACAGAAACCCAGCTCTTAGTCACAGCTGCAAAGGGTCACAGTTCAATTTGTGTTGTTGTAATATGTCCATTTAAAAGTTGACCAGCTCAGTACAAGAGAAGATCTACAATGGACAAAATAGCTCTCCTGGTATGTGAGAATGTCCTAATTGCTGGTAGCTGTGAACAGCTTGCCATGCCAATTAGAATACCAAATAATCATTTATTAACTAGCAGGTACAAACCATTGTAATCTCTATAGTTGGATATATTTATAGTTCAGCCAATGTAAGTGTTTTGCCTCAGCTTTTCATAAGGGTTTTTGTTTTAGCCTAAAATCAGTCAAACTGACACCATCTTTTCTTGCTCGGGAGTCTGCATACGCTAGCCTATTCAGCAAAGCAGACACCACGGGGTTACATTCAGAATATGGGGTCGCTGCATGCACAACTTTTGTTTAAAATAGCTAGAGCTGGACATTTAATTCAATGTACACCAGGCTTTAAGAAGAAAAAAATGTATTCCCTAGCCCCCATTTGGCTATTGCTCAAGTACAGGTATCACTGTATCACATACAAGAATTTAAACTTTTAAACCTATTTTTAAAGCTGGTAGATTTATACCATGATATCGGGATATACAAACTAGACCAACACACATTAGTACTGTTGGCATAGGCACTTAGTGTACTGCTAAAATACAGATTATGTCCAATTATATGTAATGGCCAGTGACCTGTTTTCAGACTGATTTAAACATACATGCCTAAGAAGGCCTCTGATACCCTTTAAAATGATACTATTTTATTTCTTATTTATTTTTTAAAAAGATGCTCCAAATTATTCAGCTTTACTTTTTTATTTTAGGTTTTTCTAAAACGTATAAAAGCAATAAATAATCCAATACCTTCATTTTCATCTAATTTACTTGTATCGCTTTATCTATAAAATGCATATAAATAGTCTGGCCCACTATGTTTTATAATGGTTAGACCCTTTACACTTCAGTGTACTAAGGAGCACTTAAATCAGGAGCATGAGCAGTGTTGCTGTAGTTTGCTTTGCTCTCAAAGTTCTACAGGCTGGAAAGGTCCTCCTCATTACATCTGCTGCTGCTAATGGTTCCTCTGCATATTCAGGCACCATAATAGATCACTAAAGATCTCATGGCCAAATCCTTAGGCAATTAAATAAAATTATAAAATAATTTAAGAAAAAAGTTTTTTTAAATATAGTTAGTTCATATTATTTCTTGACTAGTTTAGGGGGGTTGTTTTCCATAGCAGAATTATGGACCTCACACAACATTGTATAATCCCATACATGAAAGGATTTTTAGCTACCAAGAGTATGTTTTTAATTATGAAAAAACCCCAAACCCCACCCTCCCCTCACAAACTTCACCTGGCTTAGGCTCTTTTAGAAATGTTATACAAAGACGGAAAAGGTATCTGACAATCCCTAAAGTTAACACCTTTCCACCTCTTTTAAAAAACAGTGTTGTCGTCTTTAGGATCTGTGCTGCTAAAGACTTTTATTGCACTTCCAGGTCATTAATAAACCACAGTGCTATTCATGTACTAAAAGGTAAAAAATAAATAAATACAGATATATTATGTAAAAAATATGATTGTACACATAATACATCTGAGGTATTACCAATTTAAATAAGGTTTCATGCTAGTTCAAGCTTCGGTGGCTATTTAAATTCTGGAATTTGCAATAAATAGGTGAAAATGATTATGGATCTAGTGTATGGATCTTTTCTGTAAACCTCTTCAGATTTAAACGTAAGAGCATGGCAGGCTCACTCTTATGCAAATCATTTTTCACAATAAATATGGATTCAAAAGTTGTTTTAAAAAGTTTCTGCAACACTGAATAGTTTCTAGAAGGGGCTGTTGTGTATGACTGGCAATGTTAACAAGGAGTATTTCTTAATAGGTCTTTTTATACAAAACACAGGTAAATTCGTACTTGAAAGTCTTCTATTTTTTCCAAATTATGAAAGTTTATAAATTTTGCACAAACAGCAAGGGAACTGATTGTAGCTGCAGTATTTCAAAGTGTCCATGTTCTATAAAGACAAAAAATAATTTGTCTGCTTAGAAAGCTTTTTGTAGTATTTTCTCCTTCAGTGAAAGTTTGCTCAGTACTTCAGTTTTCATTTCAGTTTTCCTTCTTTTTTTAAACTTTCACTGTTTCCATTAGTGATGACTTAATGGCATCTTCTAAAAGCTGATTGTCTGTGAAAGGGACGGGGGTTTCTGGGACAGATTCAGACAAGCCAATTAGAGACTCCAGGAAACAGGTGCTCTGGTCTCCTGCCTGGGGAAAGCCAGGAAAATTAGGCAATTGAAACTGCAATGCTGAAAAGTTATCAAGGTTCTCATATTCCTTTAACGAGTTATAAAGAGGTCCCAAGTTGTAGTCGGAAAATGACTGAAAAAGATCCAAGGAGTCAGAGGAAAGGCTGAGATCTGTGTAACTCTTTGAGCACTGCTCTGCAGAGGATGACATGCAGCAAGAAAGCCCATCACAGTGTGTATCAGCAGTTCCGTCTAGAAAACAACCAGCGTCCTGATTGGCATTTTCATCCAGGCATTCGGAGATGTTTGACAAATGGCCAGAGTAGATTCCAGTGCTGAGTTTTTCAGCAGTTGTACCACACTGGTCTTCAATGTTAGCACTAAAGAAGTCAGCAGGATGGAAACAGCTCAAGTTGTCTTGGCAATTATTACTGTTGTCTTCGATGTCAGAATCATTGAAGTGGAGTATTCTTGCCAGGCCGTCATCATCAATATCGGACTGAGACTTATCTGATGGGACACTCTCGTACTGTTCTTCTGAATCCTCGCTCTGAATGGATGAAATCGAAGAGTCTGTCATATCACTACTACAGCTATTCTCCCCAACAGTCTCCAGGTCCATGTTGAACTGAAATGCTGGAGTCAGTGGGACAGCTCTTTCCTCAAACACGTTTTTCCCTGCCGAACAGCCAAATTGATGGAGTCTGTCCCGGAATGATGATTCGGGTTCTACATTCCTTTCATTGCTCTGCTGATTCTTTTCCAGTTCTAATTTCATGATGGTGTGGATAAAGTGAGTTTGCACTCTAGCCTGGTTGAATTCTATTCTCCCTTCCGTATTTCCACAGCCATCTTTCGTGCAGCCACAAGGGAACGAAGTGTGATCCATCTGCCATGAAGCAAAGAAGACAACAGTGTTAGACCTATGAGATTCTACCTCTACCTAAGGCACGGGGCCCATAAACCCCAGCATAACTTGAAAGAAAGTGACTGCAAGCTATGAGGAAACCCCAAAACTACAGCACAGCAAGATCTACATAGCAGAAACGGCCTCTATTGAGTGATTCTGAGAAACCATCTTCATAACAGAGCATACCAGCTAGCAGATAAAAACAAACCCTCTTTAGAAGGATAGGTCTCAATACAACTTAAGACCAAAGGAGCTGAAAAGATCTAATGGGTAAAGCATATACCCTTTCAAAGGAAGTGTGTGTGGAAAATGTTGGACAAATCATATAAATAGCTATGTATTGATTATATCATATGCACATGTAACAAGAGCTATTGTGATAGTCACTGGGGACTGATCCCAGGACCTAGGCTGGTAATAAGCAGAGCTTCTACCGTCTGAAGTAAAGGAGTAACAGCCGTAACTGGAACCTGCGGTCAATTCACCCTCTGAGGACCAGCCACTAGAGGGTGATGTGTAAAACGCGCTGTACAGTAGGTTGCACACACGCCAATCCCCACAGCCATGACACATAATGAATTAACATTTCAAAATCTATGGAATGCATCTTGCAGAACATATTTCAAGAGGCAAGCATCTCCAAGGAAAAACTGAACATGAATTCCTAAACGGAATTACACCGAGAGGGTGATACAGGCCAGCTCAGTCTGAAGTTACCTACAGGCAGAAACTTATCTCTTGGGGGTGGGGGGTGCTCAAGAATGGAGGAGGACTCTGAGGATTGGGTGAAGCTACGCACGACATCACATGCTGTAGACTGTCAGCCCGGCTTGACCTCACTTCAGAATTGGGATATAAACTAAGAAAAGCCAGGAAATCCAAAGGGACACGATCAAGCCCTAACCTGAGACCTGAACGCGTTGTTTAACTTTGTGGGCATGTGCCTCTGATGCAGCCCTCGGCTCTACCTGCCTGCTCGGTTTTGGCAAGCCAGTGGAACATTAAATACGCATCAGTCCTGCTTTAAGTGATCAGTATGGGAGTAAAGATTTCCACACGTGGTGGATTTGCAGAAACATGCAGAAGAGAAGGACATCGGGACATGCACATGACTGCAAAGAAATGCAGCACCCATTGGGCATCCCAAGGTGGGGGCTGTCCAGCAGAGATCTTGGAACTTTATCTATACTGCTACCCTCATTTTATCTTATGCTCTTGAGAGGAGTAAGAAGGGCCTAATTTTCTATGCTCTGAAATACAGGTCACAAAGATATGTACACATATACCATTTTTAAGGCAGGTAGCCAGAGCTCAGCCTGTCAATTTCAACAGTGTCCCTTTGACAGTTACCGTTTTTTACATGCAAGTTAGAATTAGTGCATTTTACAATCTGCCTTTGCCAGCAGGAGAACCTACTCCATACTGCGCTTGCTAGCTAACCTTCCCCGTCTGCTTTTCTTTCTGCTTGCGTCAAGTCTGCAGACGCTGCCAAAAAGCCTGGCCGTGTACATAGTTCCAATCTGTGCAAGGACCCTTCTGATATTAAGTTTCACCCTCGTCTCAGTCCCAGCCTCGCTCACATACGTCCCTAATGGATGCAAGGCACGACGCACAGCCTGGGTGGCACAGCGAGCGGCACGTACCTGACATTTAATGCCTGCTAAGCTACAGCTGCAGGTCTCTGGATCGCAGAACTCCTGGCAGTCACAGCCGCAGTCTTCACGGGACAGGCGGATGCTGTGCAGCTCCCGTTTCTCCTCTCTGTCGATCTTCTTCACCCCCATGGTTTTGAGCAGAGCACGTCTCTTTTTGGCAGGGTAGGGCTGTAGGAAGAAGCCGTCCTCCAGCTCCACATTGCTCACATCCACGTCATCGTCGGATATGTCCTCAGTAGTGAGCTGGCCGGCCTCCTCAGACTCCGCCGTGCCGTTCACCGTTAGCTGTGCCCAAAGAACAAGACGACAGAGTCAGTGCACCACATACACTCAAGAAACACATCTCAACCTAGCCAACAGGCAGCTGTACCGGCAAACGCACACTTAGAACTAAGCCACAACAACAAATACACCCCTCCCCGCCATTACTGCACCGTGGCCTTTCCAAAATGGGTGTCTGCCATGTGCCTGGGGTAGGGGTGAAGAGACGGCTGTGGGAAGAATCAGAGAATAGTGACCTAAAACTGGTGACCATTACGACCCAGAGGGGCAGAAACTAAAGGGAGGGAGGGGACAGGTCTAGTCCTGCTTCTGAAATGCAGCAGCTTCTTGGGTGGTGAGGCAGACACCTGGTAAACTGCTCAAGTAGGAAGAGGAACATTTTGGCCAAGGACACCAGGGCAAATCTTTACTCTGCTCAAGAGAGACGTGAGATGGCCACTGAGCACACAGGAACAAGGTCTCCTCTAAAGTCTTGGTAAATTATTAAATTCATGGAATTCAGTTTCTTTACTTTTGGAGAACAGAAGAGCTGAGCTGCTCATATCTGCATTTGAACACATGCTTCTAGAGAATCTGGATATGTCAAAACTGATACTTAGACCTCTGAGATGCCATAAACTAATCATAAATAAGGCTGCGATTTAGTCACGGAGGTCACGGAAGTCACCAATTCTGTGACTTCCAAAGACCTCTGTGACTTCAGCCAGCCCTGGCTGGGAGCTGCAGGGTCCCCTGCTGCCAGCAGTGGCAGGTGGACCTCCCGCAGCTCCCGGCCACCTCAGGTGAAAGGGGGGACGCCCGCTGCTCTTCGCAGCCCCAGGTGACCTGGAGACCACTGCAGCTCTCCGCTTGGGGGGGGCAGGAGGGACCCCCAGAGCTCCCGAGTTCAGAGCCCCCAGCGGAGGGGGACCCTGGAGCTCCCAGCCCACCCGCAGCTGCTCAGGCTCCTCATTTTATCATGGATATTTTTAGTAACAGTCAGGGGCAGGTCACAGCTTCCGTGAATTTTTCATTATTGCCTGTGACCCGTTCATGACTGTTACTAAAAATATCCGTGACAAAATCTTTGCCTTAATCATAAGGACTTGCACCAGCTAATGATAAATGATGCCACATGTTATTACTCACCTTCCATTTCAATGCCTCCAGTTTCTCCTCTTTTAACCGCTCCTTGAGTTTCTCCCGCCGAACGTTCTCCTGTTCCTTTGAAAATTCTGCCAGTGTAAACTGCCTGGACGAACTGTGCTTGCTCATCATCCCCAGGGTACAGCCACCCCGGCTAGGCACGCTGGTGAACCCCTGGCAGCGTGGAAAGTAAAACACAGTCACCTGGTCGAACTCCACATTGTTCTTCTTTAACCGCTTGGTTTTCTTCAGGATGGATGTAGCTAGAAAGGCAGAAATGAAAAAAAGGCACATGACATTCCTCTCCTATGAACAGATGTACATGAATGTTAACAGCTGCAAAACAGTGTAAGACTTCCAGTTAGTCTACAGAAATCAACAAGTTAGTATTAGGCCAGTATCTCAGCAGACAGATCCTAAAGTGCAGTATGTAAACTCATTTCAAGGCAGGTGAAGGTGCTGCAAGAAATCACAGCCAATATATTTTGGCTAGCAAAGAACATTGATCAGTCTTGCTAAGAAGCAATTGCCTTTCTCCTCCTCACATTGATTTCCTCAAGGATGTTTACATTTACTTATTCTTCAAGTATAGCAGAGCATAACAAAATGGGGTGTGTGTGTGTGTCTGTCTCTCTCTCTTCAGGTTCTCTTTTGCAGGCCACCAAATAATTTGCTTACTGCAGCTTACATGGGAGAGCTCACAATTACTAATCGCTGCTTTTATGGTACTTCCTTTTGCAGCCACTGGGAGGAACTATGAATCTGTACTTTATTCTCAGGAGACTAATTTGAGAGCAGCTGCAAAGATGTTAATCTTTATACAGGTGATCCCAATATAAACATTGGCAACACAACACTGTGGTTTATCTTAAACTGCTATAACATGCTTTATGTATTTAGAAAGTTTAAAATACAATCTCTCCAGAGATACCTAGTTTTACATTGTCTCGTGTGAATATAAATATATAACAGATCGGATTTACTAGTCTACAGGAGTAATTCCAGAATCACTCTGTTGCCCTGCACCTATCAGGACATGTAAAATGGAATGCAAAACTGTGGCAATATTGGTTTAAGGAACTACTTTTCCTGCAACATGAACATGTTAGGAAGAAGAGGCAGCAAAAGACAAAATGAGCTTGTTTGCTCACGATCTCTGCTAGATTCTCATAGAAGGTGGATGAAGTCTTAGTCAGCACAAAGATAATCAAATTTTAGAGCCCAAACCATTGAGAATTATATAAACAGACCTCACATGGCAGGTGGAAAGTCTCCAGTTACTGGGGGGGGACATTTCTTCCCAATGACAATGGCCTCCCATCTCACCCTCTCAGCTAAAACAGCAATTTAAAAACTTGCCTTGTCTGTATATGAAAAGTTGCGCCAGAATTTATTCTACATCTTTCTAGCTATGCCCTAGTGCAGACACACTTAAACTGGGGTAACCCTTGTTTACACTGGTTTAGCTTAAATCATTAGTTTACCAAACCCTACTGTGCTAGGAACTGTATTCACACCGAGTAAGACAGTAAATGTCCTGAAGGAGCTTAGAATCTAATTACACGAGACAGAAGAAGAATTATCATCCCCATTTTACAGATGGGAAACTGAGGCTGCAAAAAGATCCAGTGACTTGATCTTGCAAAGGGAATCACTGGCAGACTGTTCTGAACTCAAATCTCTGGATCCCAAAACTAGGCCTGAACCATCTCATTCCTCTCCTGACCAGAACTATTATGCATATGGAATTGTAATGACCAGCTATAAACTCAAAGGGTGTTTGCAGAGGTGGGGTGGGATCAGATACCCCTGAAGCTTAGAGAAATGCAGAACTGGAGTTAGTCATGCCCACTTTTAACAGTAAGCCTTATTTACCAACATATAAACAAACACTTCTTAGTTTAGTCTAAAGGAGCATTAGTAGAAGCTGCTAACATAGCTGCACCAAACATATCAACAAAGCTTTTGAGCTTTCACACTGGTCATTGTCGTCATTTTAATGACCTCTTCTCACTGGGCACAGCATTTTTGTGTAGTCTTGGCTTAACCATTTAAAAATATTTATTCTTTACCATAACACCCCACCCACAAAAAAATAAAATTAATATAATTATACTTTGCTCTCCCCCCCCCCCGCACAAAAAATTGTATTCTCATTCCTGACACTTTTTAAATGAGCCAGAGCATACAGAAAGTCCATTGTTATTTCACAAAACCCAGAGGACAAAAAAAGAATGAGACTCTTTATTATTACAAGACTTCTAATGCCTTTTCAGACCAGTGGATGTTTGTGTATGTCTGCTAAGTGGACCTTAACTGCAAGATATTTGCAGGGCTCAAGTATAATTTACTTGGTAAAGCTATTTCCCTTAGCTGAAGATTGTGCGCACTGTAATTTTTGGATGACAAGTGAGGGAAGTTCATATGTGTTTCCCCAAAGCAACCCAAACTGGTAGTAGCTGCTAGGAAAACAAAATTGCATTTGTCTGCACCAACAGCAGTGTCAGATGTGTGGCATTATTTGGCAAGTCATCCGGTTTGCTTACGAAACCATTCTGAAGTGGTTTGTATTAACTAAGTACGCCATTGGTTAATCACTTGTACCCTACTTTTTTTTTAAAAAATGGGCACCTATAACTAACATTTAGGCCCCTAGTTGCCCATTTAGATAACTTCAGGCTCCTATCTTTGCAAATTAGGGCCTCTATGCAAATTCATAAAGGCCCTAATTGTTATAAAATACAGGAGTAAACAGTTGAAGAAAACTATCCTTAAAATGCAGGCTGAGTAAATGGACCATATTTATAAAATTATATGGACTAGACTTCATAGACTCATTCCATAGTTTACAATGGATAAATCAGCGTCTGCCAAGATCTTGGGAGTGACTGTAATAACTATCCACAGTGATAGTGCCATGTTTTAAAAATCTGTTTGCAAAGTCTTTGCACATATGTGGACTCCATGAGAATACAGCCCCACCATCTGGATATAACAACATATCCTGTCATGGGATACTTACGAGTGAAACTGGAGGGTAAGGCAGTGTTGGGCTTGCTGTCTCCTCGGGAGTTTTCCTCGTCTGTTTCCCAACCTGATGACGCCGAAGAAGAGGAGAACGGGGAGCAGGAGGAAGAGGAGCAGTAGGTGGCATCATCCCCCAGTTCATCATACTTCCTTTTCAATACTCCACTCATGGTTATTCGGTATTTTTCATATAACTGAAAAATAAGGGAGAAAAGAAAAATAAAGCATGGGCGACAATGGATGTTCTTCACAAGGGGTGAAATTCGCTCCTGCGCAGGGAGCCAACACAAATACCAAATACCACTTAAGCCTTATTTTGAGGGCTTCATTGGCATTTCGGTGGCTTCCGTGCCAGCTCTCTGCACGTGGCTAAGATTTACCCCTATGCACCTAAAGATCAGAGGGAAAGATGTTTAGGCCACCTACCTATAAGTCACACATTTGCTACACTCACATTTGCAGGGCTGTTCCCTCACAACCTTGAGAGGTGGTGGAGCACACCATGATTTCAGTTTCTACATCAACTAATTCCCATCCATGAAAGCTGTCCCCTGATTTCCACCATAATACGAACGGTTACTGCTTAAACTGCTATGGTTTTTGAACACATTCAAGCCTCTCCCCTACTTTTGAGGTTCACATTTTTATCTAATTCACCCTACCTTCAAACCTTATTTCTGGCAACTGAAATTTCCATGCAACATTCCACCCATATTAAGATTGTACAAAAAAAGTGGCTGTAGGTTACTACACACACACACGATCTTCCACACGCTCATTCATTCCATCAACAGAAATGTTAATAAACAATAAGTATTACATTTTGTGCACTAAATCTTTTATGTTAACTCCTTACCCAAATCACTTACTAGGAAGTTACAGCTCTAGCTTTTGCTAATTACAAAAAGAAGCCAGTTTCTTGAAAACAATCCGTTGCCATGATTTACTTGCTTCAGTCCCCTGGGGGCTTATTAAATGAAGCACTGAAATACAAATATATCAAATGCAAGAAACAACCCTTCCTCTCAGTTTCTTTCAGATTCAGCCCACTGTTCACTAAACCATGCGTTTATTTTGCGATATATATCACACACAGTACCAATTAAAAGCAATAGAGCTAATTAAAAACAAAGTCATTCTGTACTTGTCTGGATTTCTAAATTTTGTTCATTTCTTTTTCCAACTTTCAACCCACCAAACAACTTCACATTTAATCCTTTAGCGTCTTTGGAATAAGAATTTCCTACAACAAAAAGACACTACACTTTGCATATAATATACCAACTGAATCATATCACTTACTCTACAGCTCAAAATGCATTGAGTCAGAACACTCTTGGGAAGAATTCTGTTTGGACCAAAGACCTTTTCTCCCTATAAAGCCCTAGATACAACAACCTGGATGCCTCTCTATTTTGATAGAAATCACCACTGGTCTATTTAGGTTTGAAGTGGGTGAGCACGTAACCAGACGTCACGACAAGATTATTACTGGAAGAATGACTCACTATGATTCAAACCTGTGCATTTGTATATTTATCAGCAACAAACATGTGAGGCTACAAATCATGACATCCCAGAGCTAGAGTTCAGAAACTTCCTTTGGCAAGAAAATAGGTGCAGTTTATGAGAATCACCCACTCGTACTGAGGGAGGGATGATACAGTGGCTCCAGTCACTTGGCATGACACAAGAACGGCTGCTTCTTAGTAAGCAGTTTTAGCAGCCTATGAAACGAAGAGGCTATTATCAGAAAGTGTCGCTGAATGATAAGAATGGAACTCGATCCAAAGTCCACACAGCCAAACACAGCTGACATGGGAAGCAAGACAAGCAGAAGGATGCTGCCCCCTTCTCTTTTCCAGATGCCTTACAAAAAAGGTCGACAATTAAAATATAAAAAGTCACAGTTTAAGAATCATTACAAAACAGCTAGTGAATGAAGCCTGGCCACGGACACTAACAGTTACCAAGCTGCTTATTACCAAGTTACACAGAACTTCTTGAACTGCATGGAATCCAGAGATCTCACGGAACTGTTCCATTTAACATCCTTAATTCTAAAAAAAACAAAGGCATCCTTTACCGTGACACTAACTCAGAACACAAGGATGTGTCAGATATGTATTAAAAACAGGCTTGCAATCTTATAAAGCCCAGTGTTATACTTGACTGCCAGAAACTCTCCTCCTCAATCAAGGTTAGACTTTTCTATTAGCACAAATGTGTTTGTGACCATCATTGTATTACTACCTATTTCCTTTGCATGTCTAGTCGGTTAAATCTTCTTTAAAAGCTCCTGCCAAGTGTGGGCACACAGCAAAAAATGCATATTTCAAAACCTTTTAATGAGGGGATTTTAACATTTCAATAGCATTGCATAAGAATACTTAGCGCATCTATATAGCTCTTTATATCTTCAAAGCTCTATACAAACACTAATTAATTACGTTGACAAACAGCTTTCCATAAGACAATAGTCTCTAAAAGGTTAAAAATTGCAGGCTGTAATGGCCCTTTGGTTATAAGAAAGTTAATCATTTACTGCAGCATGGCTGTATTGGGGCTTCAAAGGCACTAGGCTATGCAACTTTCTAATCTGAAGTTGGGCTCAATAAAGAGCATTTTTTATACAATATTTTCATACTAGGGGAAAAGTAACTGTTTCCCCAGCCTCTTTTTACACCCGTTGTTGACAGCTCTAACATGACAAGGAGACAGAACGAACATTGCAGGTGGTTTTGCCACAGTTGTTTTTTTGGCCTTAATCCAAAACAGATGGGGAGGTGGTGGATTTGGATATCTTCCATCAGTAACACCACATGTACTACCTGACACCTGGCTTAACCCCTTTGCTACTTTCCATTGAGCTCACCAATACTATTCAGCAAGAACTCCCCAGTGACCACAAGGAAGCTCAGCTGTTAGTATAAATTCTCACTGTACTTATGTGCTTTCCCCCCCATTTTACAAAACGAACACGAACTCGGTAGCTTAAAAAACAACCACCATCTTCTCAGTGTGGGGTTTGAAACAAGCTCTGTGCAGAAGTCTGAGGTTTTATTCAGCTCCATTTGACAAGTCTCTTCCAATGATAAAGTTGGAAAATTAGGAGTGACTGAGCTCGTACTCAACTACTCCTTACTTTATTGTTTGTTTGATTTCCCCCCTCCTATTTGAGAGCACTGGGGTGGAGGGGGAAGTAATTTAAAGCAGCCCCAGTCGTGTTAAGGAGTAATCACTCTTCACGCCTCTATGCTTGTGGACAGCTCATTTGTAAAGCATACATGTGTATGGGGTCTGGCAGCTGCTCCTTACGTCACAGTCACCTTCCACCCCAACGTGCAGACTTTTGAGCTACATCATTTGCAAGGGATCCCACATTTTAAACAAACAGGGATGAAAGTAACCCTCCCTTTGCTTGTGCCATCTGAGCCGGCCCAATGGCTACTATGACAGATGTCAAAGCAGCAAACACAGGAAACTTGTGGAACACTCAAGGTCGCACTACAAAAAAGATAAATAATAGGGAAATAACACAGATCATGTCAAGCTCACTTAAAGCAAAGCTCCTACCCCCCCGGAACAATGTAAACTACTGCTTTGGAAGAGTGTTACCTTTGGAATTTGTGCTCACAGACCACCTACACTGAAATCAGCCACAACCATCTTCCAACCCAGCCTAACCAACAGCCAAATTCTGACCTCAAATTCTAGCCTCTCTTCCATCTCCCTGATTGCTCAGTCACTAATCTGTGCCTCAAGAGCTATATTTGGCAGTCGGGTGGTACAAATAGGCTACCACTGGGCATAAAAGAGAACCAAGACCACAACAGTTTCACTTGCAGGCAAAAAGGCACATTAGAAATACCGAAAGCAAAGGCTACAACAACAACATACCTGATTGCTTACAAGTTACATTTGTTTTTATTTTGTTTAATTGGCCTGTATATGCACTTCCAAGATGACACTCAAAGTTGGCTGGCCTAAATGGCTGTTGACAGTGGTCTCATTATAAAGTGGGAAAGTGTCAATGTGAAAATCAGCACTGAACAGAGAAGCACATGAATAAGGCACACACACTGGTCTGTTTATAAAGACACAGCAAATCATGTTACAGATAAACAGATGGTCTTAATGATTGTTGGACTGAAGCACAAAACCATGGTCAAGGTAGGTTATAATCTAGGATTACCTAATGCAATAAAGTCCAGTATAAAAGTGCTCACCATGCATAAGGTATTTTCCCCAAGAGTGGGAAGAAGGAAAAAATGTATCACTTCTCTTCATAAGAATGAAGTGAGCTAAACATTTAGGGAAAAAAATACCCCACTACAGTATGACAAAGTTATTTCAAATATTTTATTGCATTGTCAATGCATAAGTAGAGATCATGCAAACACAGTTCTTGATTAATGGGGAAAAGCTTTTACTGAAACTGCTCCCCCTCTTACCCAAAGCATTTTTCCCTTTTCTGTTTTTGTTTTTAAGATGGAACATTTCCCCAGGTAGAGTTTTAAAAACCTTTTCACGAACTATACAGATATAGTGAAGCTGCATCCTCAGTGTCTGGTTGCACCCACTCAAAAAGAAAATCCTACAGAATAGAGTTAAACATTTGAGGTAAAGCCAATCACTTTTCCGTGAGAGCAGAATTCAGCCCAGGAATCTGAACACTGCCTTGAAACTCTGATGTCTCTTAGCCTGTTGAATGATCAGCCAATAAAACCCGAATGCCAATTTATACCCAGTGAGGATATTTTAATTGCAGTAATTCCACAATTAAAAGGTCTGTATCGGACATAAATATGGTTTTAAGAATAAGCCACCAAAACTACACAGCAGCTTGAAAAAGGGTCCTATTCTTGCACTCTCAAAGTCTGCAAGTACCATATACAAGAGGAGTTTTTTTTCCTCCACTTTTTTTTTTTTATATAACCTGAAATAAAATAATCCCATCTCCCTTTTGGTTGCCAAAAAGACATTCTGTTCTTGGCTAAGACTCCTTACTCATCTATTTTACTGAAAACAGCTTTTTGAACAAGTACATAATGCGATGGATCAAACCCGCAGGAATTCCACTAGCACCGCAACTCCCACTATCTTGGGAATACTTTCTAACAAATATTTAGCTCAGATGTGCATTCCTCTCTCTCTATTTTTTTTGAACATCAAACTTGGGGCAGAGGGGGGATGTCTGGTGGGGGAAGGGGAATTGAAATGGCTAAATCCTTTTTCTGGCTCTCAGCAAGTCGCAAGGCAAAGCCCTAGTACACTGGAATGCAAGGAATTAATGTTTTAACTATCCTACTCTTGGACTACATGTAAACAGTAAATATTTCAAGTAATTTAGATTTAAGAAGATTTGGCATTTATTTAGTCAACCAGAGGAAAAACAACCAAAAACAATAGTGTTCCTTTAGTCTATTTATAACTAATCCCACAAGACATTATGTTTGTGTCTGCAAGTTGCTGGTCATTTTACTGCAGAATATAAACTATTTGCATCTTTACTTCATAGCTGTTATACGCAATTGTACAATTGAATGGTTGCAGGGTAATCAACCGAGTCAAACTACAGAAACTTCTTATACTAGATCCAGTTGCTGTAGGTTCTGCATTCACTAGTACCTGGCTGGACATCCATGCTTATAAAGAGCATCAGAAAGGACATCAGTCTGCAGTGACAGTTTAAAGTTTGGTTTCATGTCTGAGGAGCCAATGCATGAAGGAATTCAAGATTTGTGCAAAAGTAATTTAAAGTGCAGCTCTACTCTGAAAAGCAACTTTGTAAAAATGTTGTCATGGACTTGAATTTTTTTTCCCAGTAACTTTCAGATCAAATCTGTTCCATTTACAAGTAAAAAGATGCCAGCTCTGCAAGCAACCTGAAATCCGAAAGTCAAGGTGGGTTCTTTCTGGCTCATGGATCAATAACAACAAAGAGTCTGCAACTGGAAATTAGTTAGCAATTCTGTTGCTCCATGAGTCAGATTAGAATCCAGCTCCGTCCCCCAGGGCTATGGTGGGTCTGCACGTCTGACAAAAGCAAATATTAGTTTAAAAACACCACCATGTATTTTAGTCGGGAAGGACACTGAATACACTCACAGAGCAAGTCTTGGAGTAAGACAGTGCAATTTTTACAGTCTCTCTTCAGACAAGGTGGCACTCATTTACATGCCTCTGTTGACTGCAGGTCAGATGACCTTGGTATCTAGCATTAACAAAAATTGGCGTAGAGCAGAGCTTTTAATTTAACCATCTGAATATCAGATATCTAAAAACAGAGGTGCTTTCACTGAAGCTTCTAGATTACTTAATAATCAGTACTCTACTGGCATTGATTCATTGAGCATCCATTCATTTAACTATTTTAATTCTCTGGATATTTATTTGAGTGGTTTCCAAAGCACACTGTTACAATATCACCTAGCCTTACAATATCACCAGGTTTGATGTAGGCATTTTGAAGAAGCTACCATAAAAAGAACCAGCCTAGAAAGGAAAGTGCAAGAAAAAAAGTCTCCCTCCCAGTTTCCTGCTCAAGCATGGAGTGAAAAGCAAGGGATAGCCAGTCTCACAGAGAGTATTCCAAGAAACACAAGCCTTGCTTTCCAGTTCAAACTAGATCATTTTAACCCAGCTGGGTACGGTTTCATAACCTTACTCTGGGTAAAAATAGACTCTGCCTACCATGCAACAGCAAAAACTGAACTAGTCAGTTCCACAGAATAAAAGCATGAATCAGTTTATAGTGCAAGTTTATTCCTATGCCAAAATATTTTTCATAGGAAGAATTTAAGAAGTGCTTTCTCTAACACTTTTCAAAAAGCCAAGCCTGTACTTTCCCCACCATGCCATTATTTCTTGTTGACAACTGGAAAGGTAAATAAAAAACAGCAAAATACATAGGAGATTATCTGATTTGGCTGCTAAGAAATTAAGCTTCCAGGTCTACTTGCAAGGGATCTTACTATAATAAATATGAAAATACAGTGTGCACTTTGTCTAGGAAAATCCTCTATTTGATTACCCCTTATGAATAATTCACAACAGGTTTCCATATTTGTCCTCGAGTAGGTACACACTGTACATTACCTTTTCTCCTATGTGTGCACACTTTTCCTGCACTAAATTATTAAAAGGCTTGCCAGCAGCTGTATGGTCTTTTAGA